GATTTTATAAAATCAAATATACAAAACATGCATTTTCATCAAGTACCCATCAACATCTGATAAATCTTATAGAAACACCTTAAGACTCCAAAATACACATTTTTGGCATGTACAAAGTTTTCACAAAGCAACTTGAATTTCCCTATTAGGTTAGGTTAAACCTAGTTTCCAAACCCAATCTCTAGTGATGAAGACTTTAGATCCCTAAGTTAAACTTCTAGATCTATGGTGCAAAGCTTCTCAAGAACACCTCATTTACTCCCAAAACATACACATGGAAACCCAAGAGAAGAAGGAGGGTTGAGGTGAAAAGAACCAAACCTTAGATCAAGAAATGGATGGATAGGAACTTATCTTTCAACTTCTAGGAGCCACAAATCATCAAGGGAACTTTAATCCTTTTTGTTCCCCTTTAAAGAGCTTTAAAAGACAAAATTGTAGCCTCTTGAGTCGCCTAAATCGGATAAGAGACTAGAAAGTTATGACCAAATGAAGAAAACCCCGAAAAATTGTGTTTTTAACCCTCAGGAGTTGTAGGCGACTTGTGAAATGACTTAAGTTGCTTGGAAAGTCGATCGAGCCGAACAATCAGCCTTCCAAGGTCCCAAGCAACTTGTGAAGCGACTTAAGTCATTTGGCAACCAACTTGGCACTTTAGTTTGTGTTTTTAAGTTGTTTTGGACTTCTCTTGCAACCAAAATTGCTTGGGAGGCCCCTCAATGCCCCAGATGACTTTCTATTAGTCTCAACCATTGGATTTGTAAATAATACATGTAGCACTCATTCAAACACTTAAAAAGAAATTTGTGATTACTTGTCCTATGAGGAAAATATCCAATAAACCTCATCCATCAAATATAACTTCGAAAGAGCAAAATCTGAAATCTCATTTATAAGGATTAAGATGTAACACATCCACTGGATCCACTTATATAAATTGAGATCAACTCTTTTGTCTTAAGTATTGTCCATTCAAATAGAAGAATATGATTGACATTCTTATCGATCATCCATTCTTGAAGATTTCAAGAACCCACAATTTATACCAAGTCTTTCTTTAATATCTGATGAATTAACTTCATAAAGTTTCTATAGTTGATAATTCGATCTATAGCTTATATTTCATAATAGAACAAAATAAGATTTTTACTTGTAAAAGCTTTCTAACTATCTGTATTAATTCAAGAATGAAATATCTTCAACAAAATCAAAGACTAATTGAAGTGAGGTCAAGTTTAGGCATGGGAATGAGGCGGGGATGGGGCGGGGACCTCAATTCCCATCCCCGTCCCCGATTACTTACCTCTATCCCCGTCCCCATCCCCATCCCCATCCCCGTCAGGGAATATAATCACATCCCTATCCCCCACGAGGAACGGGGATCCCCAACGGGGAAACGGGGATTATTTTTTCCTGTTTTAGTAAGTTATTTTAAATTAAATATGTGAAAAACCATACATGTTTAAATCACAAACATTTTCAATAAACCTAAAACCAAAATGACTTTATTTTAATACAAAAAAACCAAAACATCATATAAGAACTAATAACCTAAAACCAAAAAACAAATTAATCCAAAAAAAACTCAAGTCACATGTACCAAAAGATATTGAGTGATATAAAACCATATCGAGTGATATACAAAACTTATCGAATAATTGTATTTTGACTTGACATCCAAAAATATTACATATTAACATTCAAAAAACAACAATTTTATATTATAAAATTAGTTAGAAAATAAGAAATTATGAATTACCGCTTTAGTTGAAATAATATATAATATAAAACCATATCGAGTGATATACAAAACTTATTGAATAATTGTATTTTGACTTGACATCCAAAAATATTACATATTAACATTCAAAAAACAACAATTTTAGATTATAAAACTAGTTAGAAAATAGGAAATTATGAATTACCGCTTTAGTTGATATAATATATATATATATATATATAAGTTATTAATTAATATATTTAACGGGTACGGGGCGGGACGGGGAGTACTATACCCGTCCCCATCCCCGGTTTGAGACAAACAGGGATCCCCGTTCCCGTCCCCATCCTCGATTTAGCGGGGAATCCCCGTCTTCGATCGGGGCGGGTGAACCGGGTTCCCCGACAGGGTCAGGGTCCATTCCTATGCCTATTCAAGTTCGTCATCAAAACAGATTGGTTTGTCATCTAGCCAAAAAGAAGATCAACACTAAATAGAAGTCAAATAGTAGTCTGAAAATACTACTATTGGCAAACCGGATTTTGGAGTGCAATCTTGTCCAACAAGTTTGGCTTACCAACTCTTCGGCACTCATCCTGGTATGAGAACATGCACAACATGTCAGACATAGTAAGTTATAAACACTATTTTATTAGTGACATACTTCTTTTACTGTTCCCTCAACATACAGAAAGATGGGATAGATTAACAAGTGTCTACATCAATCATAAAGGCTGAAATGAAGAGTACAAACATGCATGGATCATCAAATAAAATAAATACACGTATTAAAGTTGGACAGTAACATTTAATGCAATAGTGACTATAAAAGGTCACCCTTGTTATTCAATGTTGCTCATTCATTTTGAATGAACTTCTATGTGATAGTTTCTTAGGCAAAATCGTCGTCAATATTTGAAGAACTAGCGTAGTTCTTCAAATCTGAAAGAGTCATTTCTTCCTTCAGTTTCTTAGTGTTAACAAATTTGTCATCAGTCAGATTGTTTAGAATCACATGTCTTACCTTCAACAAATCTGTAATTCTTTGTTGTAATACAAAATATAGAATTAAAAAGTGAAAATGTGTTGTTTTTATATTCAAATCTCCTCCCTTCTACAACCACATCATGTGTAAGTCATTACTTACAGGACCAACACTTTCAACACAACTTTTCTTCATCCCAAATCAACCATGATCCTTGATTCAAATGCCACAAACATTCAATAATGGTTGGACACCAAATGACTTGTTAAAACAAATCTACACCCAATTTATATGAACAACACATGTTGATAATTGCTAAATACACATATACAATACATGTTGCCCCTAAAATCCATAAAAGAGTTATTTTAATTGGTTATCATTATCGTAAGTAAGATAAACATGAACAGTTAGTTGTTCACACAATTTATATGAACAAGATAAAATAATACTATTTCAACAACTTCACAAAAATAAAAACACATACGTTACTCAATCATGACGTCATGTTTTCCTTGCAACAATGTTATTCGTCTTTTCCTCGACATAAATCATGCCCATCATTTTGACATACATCCATATACATGATAGGTGGATAAATCGAGAAAAGCGTCAAAATAATGTGGTGTGTGTGTATATATATATATATATGTATTAATTAGGGGGTTTGTTTGTTTACCTCTTAATAGTTTCATTAAAAGACACCATCTGAATCGTTAAGAGATGAATCTTGTTTGGCAAAAAAAAAGTATGTCTTTTAATGGTTCTAAAACCCTCTGAATGATTTTGTATCATGAATCTCCCTTAACCATTAAGAGCCCTAATTTCATTGTACACAATTATCAAACAATTATATTTCATTTTGCAATATATCATAAGAGTCTCTTAATTATTCTGACCACTTAATCATTCTGCACCGAACCATTTAGCAATTGTCAAACAGCCCATAGGTTAATTATATAACACATAAATATTAATAGAAGATGTCTCACTGCTTAGCCATAAAAATATCCCCTCACACACATGATAGGTCCTTGGTTAGTCCCTCCCTTCCTCCCACCTTCACACTGGGCTCAGTCGTTCAGTGAATCAAAAAACATCCCCTCACATCAATGTCATTAAAGACACGTTATGTATGAGATTGATTGAAATTGCCGATATTCAACTTGCCCAAATAAAAATGGTCTCATCATACTTCTTTATTAAAAAAAATACTAAATTTAATTTTAATAATAAATAAATTGTGTTTCGTCATGATTTTATGAAATTAAATTTTGAACCAATCTTCAGGGCTGTTTGGTAGTTGCTGAATGGTTTAATGCATAATGATTAAGTGGTCAGAATGATTAAGTGGTCAGAATGATTAAGTGGCTTTCATGATATAGTACAAAATGAAATATAATTATTTGGTAATTATTTATAACGAAATTAGAGCGTTGAATGGTTAAGAGAGACTCATGATACAAAATCATTAAGAGGGTTTTTAGGACCATTAAGAGACAGACTTTTTTTACCAAACAAAATTCACCTCTAAACGATTCAGATACTATCTTTTAATGAAACTATTAAAAGATAAACAAACAACTTGTTTCCTTAATCCATATGTTGGTGAGAGTCCTAAGTCATTTATGTTTGCCAGCTGGCATGATCCAGTTGGCCCAGGGTCACGGGGCCCTCATTGCCTTTTTGCTTACAAAAGCCAAGTCAAACATTTCATACGTTAAATAATAATTTGTTTTCTATATCCGATTTAAATATATAAAATAATCTATCTTTTTATAAATATATTTATTTACATTAAATTATATCGTTTTCTATATCCTTGTAAAGCATTATATCGTTTATTTTTATATAAAATTATTTCACTGTAAAAATTAAAAAAAATACAGTGTTCTGTAACATATCAGTTTAAAATACTTTTTAATATAAAAAATGTCGGTTACAGGTAAAAAGATATCCTTTACATTAATGTTTTTTAAGATGGATTCTATATAATACCAACTATTTTACTGTTAATCATAATTATAATTCTCTACACAACGATAAAAATATTTAAAATACCATTTTTTTAATATTATAATTTCATGAAAATAAACTTAATTTCATAAAAATTTGATTTTTTTTCTCAACCACTTCATCTTACACTTCCACGAGTGGTATACATTCAAACGTCTATTCTTAACCACCATATTTCCATTACTACATAAACTTTATTGTTATACTTCAATTTCACAATCGCAACCACAACCATCGAAACCGTTGTTTTCTTCTCGTAATACAAAAGGAAGATCAAACATGGCTCGGAAAACTGTAATAGTCAACATGATAGTTTTATTTTTTATGGTTGCGGCAAAAGCAGATATAATCAGCGGAGACTTTAACCAACAATTTGACGTCACATGGGGCAATGGACGTGGGAAGATCATAAACAATGGACGACTGGTCAAGTTACAACTAGATAAGGCTTCCGGATCAGGGTTTAAGTCTAAAAACCAATATTTGTTTGGAAAGATCGATATGCAAATAAAGGTCGTTCCTGGGAATTCTGCTGGCACTGTCACATCGTTTTACGTATGTTACTTATCCTTGTATTCAACGTCTTTTTTCTCAAATAAAATGATTATGTGGTATCTTGAGAAAATCACTAATGAAAGTGGATTGTTTATAGATTTCTTCTCTGGGCCCAGCTCATGACGAGGTTGATTTTGAATTTCTTGGTAACCTTAGTGGAGATCCTTATATCCTCCACACCAACGTGTTCGTTCAAGGCCAAGGCAACAGAGAACAACAATTTTATCTTTGGTTCGATCCCGCCAGAAATTTTCATACCTACTCAATTTTGTGGAACCCTAAAACCATCATGTATGATCCCTTTATATCTACTCCTCAAATCTAATATGGTTCACGTGCATAATACTCGTGAATACACAATGTGCTATAACTGGTAGATTTTTTTTTGATGTAAAACATTTTGACAAAAATAGTTTGAAGGTATCGTAATATAATAAATTGAACCACAAGGGTGGTGCCTGATTGGTTTGAGCTTGGCTTCAAAGGTCAAAAGTATCAGGAGGTCCCATGTTCAAATCCAAGGAGGAATAAAAATCCCCTTGTGGCCATGGAGATTCAAATGCGGTGACTCCGGGCTATCTGCAAAGCAGGTGATCGTCCTGGGATTAGTCGGCTCGCATAGCGGGTTGGATATCCATGTTAATCAATATATATATATATATATATATAATAATAATAAATTGAAGTATGATGCCCTCATAAAAGAAATATGAAAAGTTTTTAGGTTTAATTGGGATTAAAAGAAGTGTATTGTTATTTCTTACATTTAACTCAAATATACATTATATCTGCAATTAATTTATTGTGTTGAATGCAGATTATACGTTGATGGAACTCCCATACGACAATACAAGAATATGCCATCGTATAACATTCCTTTCCCGAATGGACAACCTATGTGGATCCTCTCTAGTATTTGGGACGCAGAATGGGCCACAAGAGGCGGCCTTGTTAAGACGGACTGGAGACTAGCTCCCTTCACTTCCTTATATAGGAATTTCAAGATGCAAGTATGCACACAATTTTCTCCGCCTTCATGTCATCAAGAACCGTGGATGACCGACTTGTTGGATAAATTCAGTGCAAGAAAATTGAAACGAGTGCAGAAGAAGTACATGATTTACAACTATTGCAGTGATGTTAGGCGATTTCCTCTGGGACTTCCCGCCGAATGCAAGCACTCATAAAGAAGTTGATCAAGTGATTAGAAGACACCAAGACTATTTAGAGATAACGCTAGAATTAGCATGTTTAATATTGTTTAAAATAACAACGTATGTTTGAAATGTATACAAAAAAATGCCAAAAGTTTATGGAAAACACAAAGTGTAAATTAAAAATTGCATTACACAAGTAACACAAAAGTGCACATCAAAATTGGCTCCTTTCTTGCCAAAGGGCCTTTGGCCTAGCGGTATGTGAGTTCTTGGTTTTCTAGTTGGTCAATGGTTCAAACCTCAACAAAGGTGAGGAGGGTGTGTGAGTTTATTTGTTCTATTTGCCGTATATAAATATTATATACTTCAAAAAAAAAATTGGCTCCTTTCTTGTAAATGAAATAAAGAAACACATGATTGAAATAACAACGGATGACTCAGGGGCCATTTACCCAAATCCTTACCCGATAAGTGCTTACTTATATGAGTCAACACTATAATTTATTTTGATGAGTAAGATTTTAGTACATCAAGACGTATTGAATGCAACAATTTACTGGGTAAGCGCTTACCTGGGTAAAAATCGTAATCTTCACTTACCGGGTAAGACTCTCCATCCTTCTCATCCCTCTTATCCGGTAAGATTTTTGACCCTTGTCATGTTCATCCGATAAGAAAAATTATTTGATAAGTACTTACCAAATAAGTATTTAGTAAACGTTCCCTTACTTGAATAAGTTTATTTTATTTTATTTATGATAATACGAATAATAACAACGTTAAAAAAAATTCACAATAAATACAACAATTTATGTGGAAGGATTTTCAATTCTAGTTAATTATTTTAATCACAATATATTGATAACAATGACTTTATCCAAAATATTTGTTGCCTACATCAATTGTTGCTTAGTAAAGCAACAATTGGGAAGCAACATAGAAGAAAAAGGGGTATGAGAGAAAAAAGATTGTACGGTTTATTCGAGGACATATCAATTTATTTTTAATGATAAAAATAATATATCTATATTATATTATAAAATATTTGACAAAAACTCTTAAAAATCATTTATATATATATGAAGTATAATTTATTGATGCATATTATTTAAAATTCAAGATTACAAGAAAACAATGCACAATTATAACTTATTAAAACTCTTATGCTTGAATTCGTGTAACTAACTGTAGATACATAATCAAATACAATATAAAAAATTTATTTTAAATATTAAAAATCTAAAACATAATTGGAATAATCATTGTGTTCTAACAAAATACTTAATTATTATATTTACAAAAAATATATTATTAACTTAAAAATAAATTACTTCGGCATTAAACCTAAGATTAATTATAAAAAAATTGATTTAAATAAATTACACAATAAATTAAATCATTACAACAAAAAAGGCTTTATAGGACACTCATTAGTGTCCTAATAAGGTAGTTAATAGGACTTTTAAGTTTATAGGACAAAAAATGTGTGTGTCTTATCTAAAGGTGTTGTATTAGGTTAATAGGATGAATTTGAGTGTCCTAAAAAACTCTAGGATTATGATACAAAACCCATAGTCCTATAAAATGGTTTAAGTAACACTAAAAAGTGTCCTAATAGCTATAATATAGGACACTTTATGTTGTCACAAAATGTTTACATTTATAAACAAATATAGGCGTCCCAAAAAATGTTTTTATAGAACGAAATTCAATGTCCCAAAAAATGTTTTTATGAAACAAATTTTAGTGTCCTATAAAATGAACTAAGTAATACTAAAAAAATATCCTAATAGGCTATAATAATTAATACTACAAGCGTCCTAAATGACTATAATGCGAGACGCATCATCCAATTATAAAATCCTACTGTAATATTACATTTAGAAGCATATACGAGAGTGATCCGATAGAACAAAATTCGAAGTTGTACAAGTATTTATATGAGTATCAAGTATCAACTACCAAGCTATGTAACGAAAAAGAATAACGCAAATAAAAAATCTTATTGTGCCCTAAGAATATCAATCTCCGTCATGCACAACCTACAATTAAAAAACAGATATATGAGCTTAAAGTTATATAATAAAAAAAATTATACACTTTATCAAAGATTAACATACCACAGTGAAAGGACAAGTCCATGCGATTGTTGCTCCAATATCGTCTTCAATTGTAATAAACAATCCATATGGCCTAACCAAACGTTCCCTCCTTCTTATAGCAACCAAAACATGTATCTCACACCAATTCGGACCAATCTCCTCGCCACCAACCAATTCATCTGGATCTAAGCTCTTAACACGTCCTCTTGCCACAATTTCTGTAGAATTTATGATGCTCTTAAGATGAACAACATCCCCAACCTACAAAAACATAATTGAAAAACAAGATTCTAAGATTCTAAGATTTTATTAAAAAAAAGCACAGGAACACTTGAAGTACACTTGATTTTATTAAGTTTTAGAAAGACACGTACCTTTAGAGGTTGAAGTTCGGTGGTAGCTTGACGATTTATTGATGTCATGGGAACACTTGAAGTACTAGAAATATTTTCGTTTGACCCTCGCATCTCTAATACCATAG